TGTTGTATGGTTTTGTTTTTATTATTTTGTTTTACATTTTGCTTATTCTACTGTTGGGCCACTCTGTTGGGTGGCACTAAATAAATAAATAAATACATACATACATACATACATACATACATACATACATACATACATACATACATACATACATACATACATACAAAGATACATACATACCTCAGAAAGCATGACATACTGTCCTCTTCTGCCCAGAGTGATACTCAGAAGATCATAAACTGCTGATGTACTCTGAAGACTGATGGCTCGGTCATCTTTCTGATCAGGAGCCCGGCTGATTACTGCATCCTGGCTTGCCTGGGAATGAATTCAAATGTTTTAAAAGAGGACCAAAAGTATCTTAGAAAGGTCTTCAGCTCTTTTTATGGGCCAAACATTGCAGTAACTGATGTTTTCAAGACTATTTCAAAATGGCAGATTACAAACAGAAAGCCAGAAAACAGTACAGTATTGTCATATATTGGGGGAGCGGGGAGTGAACTCATAATAATAGTCGTAAAAGTCTTTTTGCCATGTCTGCTGTTCTCTGAACTGACATTCAAACATAATTATCCTGCCATTTAATCCTATTATTTCTTACTTATCTTTGCACATCATTTTAATGCAACACTTAATGTTCCCAATCTATGAGCCTTAGGGTTGTTTTATATTACAACAGTCCAATTCATGCTTGGTTTTATTCCAGAAATAAATAGAAACATAATATATCTGACTGGCTATATGCTCTATCTATACTCTAAAAATCCCTCAATCACAAAGAGGTCCAAAAATACCAATTATGTTTGAGCAAATGTGAAAGAAAAACCTTGCTGGATTAAATTCAGGGCCTAGTTGAATCCAAATTGTTGTTTCCAACAGCCTCTGGGAAACCCACATACAGGATGGAATATAACAACCTTCTCCCACTGCTATTCCTCAGCAACTGATACTCAGAGGCATCAGCCATTTAATATAATTTTAACATGGAGTGCAGAACTTAAGACTCCTGAGCCAAAGGCAGAGATCAGACCCACCTCCTTCAGATGTTACTCTGTTCAAATGGAAAACAACTATACCTGTGTCTAAATTTATATTGTCCCTGGAAGGACATATCTGTCCCCCATGTGAATAATTACTTGGGATTTGTTTTCAATATGGGGCTGATGGCTCTGTTTAATTTCCGTTCATGGTTTTATTATTACTGAAAGTTGGCTGTAACCACTTTGGCAGTGAAATTTATCTGAATGGGTTGGTCATTTCTGCCAGCTCTGAGATATTTTGGAGGTCACTTAGCTCAGCAAGAGCCAAGAAAATTAAAAGTGGAAAGTTTGTGTCTGGCTGTTTGCTAATTTTGCATCCAGAGAATCGACCAAAGTCTTGTTTATTTTCATCCAGTAACTTATAGAGTTTTATGTTTGCATAATTGTTAGTACTACACCATCTGCATAGCATTTCATCTTATATCCTCTTCCTGAATTTCATTATTTAACATTTCAGCAAAAGAAAAACTCCAAGTAAAATAAAATTGATTTGGGAGATAATATATTACTAATTTCTAACATAACTCTGACAGATAGAGCTAACCGTCTGGCTGGTTGGTTGGTTTTTATATGGAAAGGAGTAAGCAAACCATTCACCACCCAAAACCAGATCTGAAATTTTAGGGGACAAAGGAGTGGGAGGAATTTTAGCGGGGGGGGGGGTGTTTTTGCTTTTTGCTTTTTTGTGATTTTTAACTATGATTTACCTATTTTAGTTCTTACAGTGTAGTTTTTACTTCTGCTCATCCCAACATGACAGGAAACTAACCATCAATGTTCAGTTTCCAGAACCACAAATAAAACTGAAGGCCCTTATGTGACAAAGACATATGTAACTTATTTGATGAAGGATAAGAAACGAAAGTTGCTTTGGAAATTATTCTTTTGTGCATCATAATCAACAGTGCTTCTTTATCCTAGAGTAAAGAAAAATTTAAAAGACACACACTGAGATATGTTGAAATGTATAGATGTGCATAATAATCAACAGTGTTAATTAACATCTTTCCATTTTGTATACTGTACTATTTAAAAGTTTCTGCATCAGTACCACTGCTGCACCATTGATTTGTGAAAAATAGCTGCACTGAATATACCCCCACATGTTCTGAAAACTGGTAATCAGCCTCACATCAGAGTCAGCTATTTTGAGCATTTGTCAGTGAGCCAAACTAAGAATGTTAAAGCAATGCCTTAGCACAGAATGCCTTAGCAGATAAAACATTCACTTGAATGAGCATATTACCATAATTTGAGGGATTACCAAAAATAAAAGATACATGTAACTCCATCTAAAGACTTGGTGAAACATGGGCGAGACTGGGCATTCTGCAAAGGGAACACAACTAGAGTTCAGATACCAGGAATCTGTCCAAAATACCAGAGTGAAATCCAGAAACCCACAAAAAGATCCAGCAGACAAAAAAAGAGAACAACAAATGGAGCATATTGTAATTCCATATGTTGCAGGGATATCTGAAAATCTCAGGAGCATTTTCAATATATAGGCATACTTTAAACTTAATTATACATTAAGGCGGAAGCTTGTCCACCCCAAAGACAAAACACCAGACACAAACTGAGCAACGTTGTATATGCAGTGCAATGCAGAAAGACGTGCAGACCACTTCACAAACTCATGACACAACACGGGAGAACAAAATCATCAGGACAAGATGTAGCAGTCCATCTGCATTTGAAAGACAATGTCACTCTTTTGAAGACAGCAAAGTCCACATTCTGGACAGAGAGTTCCACTGGTTATAAACAGGGGTCAAAGAAGCCATCTATGTCAAAACAGAACAGCTTTTCCTCAGCAGAGGATGAGGGGCATAACACTACCTATCTCCGGTTTACAACACAGTCCTTTCAGCAGAATGTTCCACACCCATTTGCATTCTGGTTCAGGGGATTTTGAGGATACAGATAAACCTTCAAGTGGTGTCAACAACTCTCAGAGAGCTAATGATAGACCTTCAGAGTGCTAATGACCAGATGACTACAAAGAATATAAATCCTTCCACTGCCCATCAGTCGGTTAGAACTGTAGAAGCTTCCTGGATGAGAAGTGAAACATTTTCAAAGAAATGTTTTCAAGCTCAGTTGCCTTTTGGAAAAAGCACCTTTGGGACAACCATGACCTGGATGATTGAGACTCTCCATTGACATTCAACAGAGTGAAACAAAGTTCATAGTCTTTCTACACATAAATGTACTTAATTTCTCTTTATTTCAGAATTCATTAATGGGGAGACAAGAGGAGCATAATTTACTGAAAATTATACTCATAATATGCAATGGCAGCATGTAGCAAACAAAGGGTATACATTCATACACATTAAGAATATGTAGATTCAGCTGGACTTCTCACCAATTTAAGAATAATTGTTCAAGTGGTTTTTAGAGATCAGCTCCAAATCAGAATAAACAGGGACCAGGGAATTAGCAGCCCTTCAAATGTAAGCTCTGTCAGATGGGGCTGATGGGAACTGGGACCCAACAGCTTCCAGAATCTAGTAATTACTTACTGCTGGAATAACCAATATTAGGTTGAGTCTTAGTTGTACATTCCTATGTACCAGGGATCTCAATTTGTCTCTCTTTTTCTCTGACATAAATCACCCATTAATTATAAGAATCCTATTTAACTGAGCCAGAAAATATGTCTTTTGAATGGAAGGGGTTAAACTGGATAAGTAAATAATAAATAAGAACAGTTTTTTCCAAGATCAAATGCCAGGTGTCCATGATACTTTGTATGAATTATTCCAAGCTCTTCTTACATTCGACACAATATTCATTAGAATTAGCCAGAGACTGCTTGTTTCAAATAAGAAGAGAGGCGGCAGCCATTCTTATCTCAGTAACCTTGTGATTCCTTGTGCTAGTGTGCAGCATGTCTGGGAAATATCAAACTGAAAGGAACACATTAGCTAACCAGTAAAGTGAAAATCAATGCCACAAACGTGGCCCATAACAGTTATATGAATGGTACTTGAAGGTACCAAAGAAGAAAAAAAGATTTTCTATATGTAAATTGAAACATTGCAAAATGATTGCGGATTTTGTGGAGGTAGTGAGAGCAGGAGAAAGAAAAGTAAGTGTTGATGGGAAAATGTTCCTTTTCTAACTCCATTTCTAATTCTTGCTAATATTAAGCAGCATCTGGAACTAAAACGTTGCTGGAGGGTGTATACAATTAAAACAGGCTTGGAGTGTTTTTTGAGGACAGCTTTTTTATTTGCACCAAGGACTTGGTTTCACCATGCATTCTGTTTATGCATGCAGCTCAATACACTTGATTTATTCCAGGCCTTAAAATCGGCAGTGTGAAAGCAAAAGAAAGATTTTACACAATTGGGCGTTTGGAAATGAAAAAGGTGTGACTCATGTCCTTAAAAGAAATAAATATTAAAAATAAGATTTCCCTTAGTAAAGCATCTTCATAATCTTATATATATATATATATATTTGCAAGACTAACTAGGCAAATAACCTTAGCAGCACAGTCCACACAGGAACTAATGTCCACCATGGTTGGAAGGCATCAGGGCTGATCAAAAGAACAAAATTATTTCAGCCCCAGAGATTGGTAGGGCCAGTCTTTGTGATGATGTGGTGACTTGGTCCTCATTTCTGCAGTAGAAGGAAAGAGAAAGTCTTCAGGGAAAGATGCATTGTGATGGAGGAGACTCTGAAAGCAACCAAAAGCTGTCTTTCCAGTAAAAATATAAAACCATATCAAACATAAAATACAAAAAACCAAATTCTATCTGTCACACTTTGAAACAGATTTAGGAAGGCGAGATTGCTTTTAATAACAAACAGCTGGTCAGGAAAGGCAAGGATCCTTTTTCAGGAAAAGGCCCAAATGGGAGAAGAAACCAACTAGACAAGTGTAAAACCAGAAAAGGCCATAAAAATAAAATAATAATAAATAGTAAGTAAAAAAAGAGGAAAGATTCATAGCTGCTGGGAGAAATATGATTTGAAATGAGACAATCCAGAAGACAAGCTCCAAAAAGATCTTGACAAACTTGAACAAAGGGTCCTATCCAATAACAGGAAATTTAATGAGAAAAACAAGGTTTTACCCCTAGGCAGGAAAAACCAAAGGTACAAGTACAGATTAGGTGACACCTGATTCAATAAATGGCCAAGATATGCATATCAAGACTCCAAGATTCTATAAGCTAGTTCCTTTCTTGCTGTAATAAAACCGTCTACTCTAAATATGTGAGAAACTTGTCTTTTTGACTACAAGATGCTTGACACAAATGTTCAGGAAAGCAATTGGTGGTGGTTAGTTTTCCAACTGATACATGACATTGAGTCTAGAACCATCAGATACCACTCTGAAAGTATTCCATATTAGATTGTGTGTGGGTAGCAACATTGCCTGATTTCTTTGCTGAGATGTGTAGAAATAACTCCTGATTCAAGAATGTGAGGAAAGTGTGTTAATGTGGCCTTTTAGCAGTACATGTAAATATAGAGCTATCATAGACTGCAAAATAAATATGAAATATGATTATATCATGGTATATCTATTCACACTATATGAACTTGTAAACAATTATTCTGCTTCAAAGTAATTGGATTGTAACTCTCATGAGCAATTAAGCTTGGAAGCCTTAGAAATTCCCTTAAACCACATTTTGCAAAAGCTGTGCTCATTAACACAGCTGTTGTAGGTAATGGTACCCAGTTGATTAGCATTTCAGGAATCCTGCTGCTTTACTAAAAGCACTGGTTCTTTTTAAAAATTTGAGTACGGGCAACATAAAATTTAGATTGGAAGACAATATAAAAGATAAACTGAAATCAAAAATAGTAGGCACAATACATTAATTCTTTTGAGTCTTAAGTGGCTCTACAAACATAAATCTTGTATTTGTCTTGGCCCACAACATAACTGGAAAAACATTGTCTTGCAGCCAAAAGTCCAAAGTTTTCATGACCAATGAGGCAATTCCTCAGTCTTTAAAGAAACTAATTCTTCTACAACCTTTGATCAGAAAGTTGGCCAGATTTATGTTCCATTCTTTTACTTTCTTGGAGGTACAGAGTTTTAAAACCAACTGAAGGTTAAGAAACCTTTAGTCCAATCCAGGAGTGTCTGCAGGGTATACTAAAAATATCAAGGTGGCAATCATGATGGGTGCAATCAAATCTCTGACTGATTTTACATCAATCAATGTATATACCAGTATGTATCAATCAATACTCTGATATATATCCTGAGGACATCCCTGTTCTCATCTTCCCTTTATAGTTGGAAGGAAATGTAAAAAATGGTGTGATTTAAGTTTAATAGATGGCCTCCCAGGAAAGCCACCTTCCAGTCATGATGTACCCTTGATTCTATCATCCCATTTGACCACCATAAAATACATTAAAATATAAAAGAAAAATATGTCAGTTCCATCTCTTTGATTCTCAGTCTCCTGAAGATAAACCTGCCCAAAACAATTGTTCCCAAGTAAGTCTGAATAATTCACATTTGCATATATTTCAGAAACATATAAAAACTGCTCTAATATAAGCATTATACAGGACACTGTTATATATCATACATTATACAATTGTATTAATCCTTAATATAACATTATGAGCCATGGTGGCGCAGTAGTTAGAGTGCAGTACTGTGGACTGCTTCTGCTGATTTTTGACTGCTGACTGCCTAAAATTTGGCAGATCGAATCTCCCCAGGCTCAAGGTTGAGACTCAGCCTTCCATTCTTCCAAGGTGGGTAAAATGAGGAACCCAAATTGTAGTGGGCAATATGCTGGCTCTGTAAACCACTTAGAGAAAGTTGTAAAGCACTGTACAGCAGTATATGTCTAAGTGCTATTGCTATTATATGATACAAAATAAATATGATGCTTGCCTAAAAGTATCCAAAGCAGGACAGCAAACTGCAGCCCCCACCCCCCCTTGCATTCAAGGCCAGACATTTTGATACTGGTATACACAAGCCATTGTCCTTCTTTATGCTACTATGAATTGCTTCTAAATACATCAACCTAAGGCAAGATCCAAGAGCTGCAGCTCAGAATGGGCCTATCCACAGCCATTTATATTGCATACAATGGAATATTTTTATTTATTTGAATAGGAAAGGCAAAAAACACCTCTCAGTTCTCAATTCTAAGTTGCCAGGCTACAACAAACAGGGCACTTGAAGTATTAAAGTGTTGAATTGTTGGAAGTGATCTGAATAAATTTTAGGTTTGCATTATAAATGACTAACAAGTAGCTAGCTTTTCACAACACCTACAGTCAGCTGCCTAAAGCATCACTTCAGTTTGTTCAGCCTCCAACTAAAATGAAACAAATTGTCATGTAACTGTTTAGGTTTTTAGTCTTGGGAGAATGAACTCATGGGAATTCCATGTACGGTTACCATAAGCCAGTTCTGTGGTATAATCTCCTGCTGTTTATTTTGCTTATTTAATTCTTAGAAAAGCATTACAAAGTCTGTCTTCCTTTCTCCAGAGATGTATCACCATAAATCCATCAAGTCCAAGAAAATGGATTCAGAATTTTTTTTAAACAAACAAACAAAAGACTGCTTTTTCGTTAAGCCTATTTTGGGATCGGGATAGAAAAAAAATTGTCCCCCTGTGACATTAAGAAAGATTCACCCGATTGAAACACATTTTCTATTACATTTTTCAGGCAATTCGTTCAATGCTTATTTAAAATTGGGCACCATTCAGTGATGCTTTAAAAAAAAAGAAACAGCTGATTCCTCTATATCAGACGTGATTGTTTAATGTTCAATCCATAGGTATGCTTTTGTGGACATGAAATGAATTTGTAGCTTAGAAAAGATACCTGGAATTCCCTTCATAAAAGCATAATGGTGATTATTATGAAATGCTTAATTGCTATTCTTCTTTACAGCTATTTTTATTTTGCTTACCATGGATTCGCTGATCAGGAGGAGAAGGAGAGCTTCTTCAACGTTGTCATGGGGGGTATAGATGCTGAAAGACAAACAGACTTTTTTCAAAATATAAGCAACAATAAGAATTATTCTCACGGGAGACTCTTGTTAATAGCACCACAGGATTAGTAATGTGAAACATCTCATGCATGATTAATTTGTTATATAATCGTTTCTTCAGACTGGAATGACTAAAAGCTATAGAGGAGATAACTCATCTGTGACGAGGGAGAGCAAATGATTGGTCAAAAACTCTTTATTCATGAAACAATTTAGCTTCTGGGTGTTCTGACCGTATTGAATCTAAAACATTTGGGGCCAGATTGCCAGCATATGGATCAGCTTATTAGAACCTTGCAACTGAGCAATGATCCTTCAGAAAGAGCTGGTTGACTGATGAATACCAGGACCTTGTTTGATTTGCCCCCCTCATATTTCCAGCAAGATATGTGTGGCATTATCTCTATTAATATGGCTAAGTCATTCATTTTAGGAGATCCTCTACTCAATGACACTAGCAAACTTCCATTTGCCCTTCTCTATTCAATTGATCTATTAATGCAAGGGAATTTTAAAAGCCTTTAAAAATTAATTATTATCATTATTTTAATTTCTGGTGTTACTCTGTGTAGTGATATATTTCACATAGGATGTTTTACTTAGTATTTATTCTATGCACTGAAACTTACCCCAAAGAGTAAGTAATAAATTGATTTAAAATTCCAGATACAAAGTTTAATCCACCCCCCCTAAAATTATTATCAGAGACCTCTAACAGAAGATATGGGTATTATTTCTAACTAGCTGTTAACCTGCCGATGCCTGGGTATTTGTTTATTCACAAATGTCTGGACCAAATGTAATTTCTAATGTTGGATTTTCCCGCTTACTAGAGGGAGACCCCTTGTGGAGTACTGTGAAGCCATTACCATGGCAAATTCACTGTGCTATATAGTAGAAGCCATTTTAAGGCAGTACAGTAGAAGCCATTTAAGGCACAATAGGCTGTATCTTAACAGAACACACACACCGAGATTTGTTAGGGGTGTCTTACCCCCATAGTATTTGTTTCCAGAGAGTAAGTCATCGGTGTACCAAGTTTTATTAAAATTGCTCGAGGTGTTCCAGAGTTATGCTGTAACACACACACACACACACACACACACACATTAATAGCTCTCTTCCCCTTCAGTAGTTAAGATGTTTTTAAAATTCTGTAAGTTCTAGGCCCGTACTTATCTCCAGCGTGTTGCTGTAGTTTTCGACGTAAGGTGGTACAAATATAAGCGTTGTCCTCTTTCTTCATTAACTCAGGAAGTGGGTCAGATAAGGGACTCCAGTAACAATCTTCACTTAGGGAGTGGAGGAGCAGCTCTGCCAGTTTTTTGTTAGCTGTCTGGTAAGAATGTAAAGAAATTGAAAAATACATTCTTAAAAACTCAAAGGACGATTTCACCTTATGCTATGAGCCAGTATAAAACACGGGATCCATTGAGTTGGACAAGAAGGAATAAACAATAGTAAGTATTACAGAAGGGAGCTCAAAGAGGCCAACACAATAATTTCTGCTGCTCAATATATGTGTTTGTGGGTGTTAGCATGTGTACCTTATATGTTTGTATTTAGGCTTTTATGGCACTTCAATACAGACAGTGATGGTAAATGTTATTTGAAAATTGAACCTTTCTCTAAAAACATCTACTTCCTGTCCCCTCAGTGGCCACTTTCTTTATTGCACAGTTCAACAGTGATATTACTTTGTTTTACTTTTGTTATGAATAACACCAGGCAAACTCTATATTTTATTGATATTAGCTTCTGGCAAAGCAAAGAAGAAAAAGCATTTTTTTTGCTTAAAATACATTTTCTAGCCGCAAGTAAAATTTACACTGTGCCATTCAACATTCCAAATTAATTAATAGGTTAATTCTACCTCAAAACCTTTATGTCCATAGTATTAAAATAAATTATTAAAATTATTGGTAGCACAATGCAAGAATCCAAAACTTTATTCTTTTAGGACATATTAAAAATCAGAAATAATGATACTGTTAATACATTATGATAAAGGTGATTATATTCAAATTTCACAATACAACTCAGCGTTGTGCACTTTCCCCCTCTAGCTTAGTCCAGGAGACAATATTATATTATTTTGGCTTTCATTTTTTATTGAGCACAATAAAAGATGAATGTTAATGCTTCTCAGAACTCTCTGGATCAAGGGAAAACAGGAATCATCCACAAATTTGCTCCATACAGAATCTTCCTATGAAGAGATTGTAAAATAATGAACTTTTCATCTTTTATACAGCATATTTGTTCTTATGTTATTCTATCATTGTGCATTTCTCTTCTCCCCCCCTCCCACTCTCAAATAAAAATGGAGCAATGAGGCATACATGAAACTGCCCTTGAAAATCACTCAAAAGCTACAGTAGTATGTCCATATGATAACACTGCTTGATGAACCTGCAGGCTTCTGAGTACAATTCAAGATGCTGGCTAGAATATAGAACTCTATGTGACATAGGACCTGGTTACTTGCTATCTTAAACAATTTCTACCCATTGAATTAAACAGTGGGATCTAGGTGGATGAAGAACACCTTTTCTGCTACAGTATCTGTCTTCTAGAATAGTATCTCCCACCCACCCCTGCCACCCGAGACAGCTGCATGTCCCTCCCTGATGAGGTTCCATTTTTGGTCGTCTTGGGTAATGAACCGCTATAAGATTTGAGTTTCTTATGTATGGTTCTTTTTCATAGGCACACATCTCTTTCTTTTTTCATTTTATTGTTCTAACTTTTTTTATAGTGTAAAGCACCCCAGTTGTTTGGTGTTAATCAACGGGGGAGGGGGAGACAAAATGCTTTCCCCTGATCTAAGAAAAATCAAGTTTATGTGATGGTTAATCAGGAATAGAATAGTTTTTCATTTCAGAGTAAGTCTTTTTTTTACTATGCCATCATGTTTTGAAACAGACAGTATGCAAGATCCATACTTCATTCTTTTGATACTGCAAAAATTTACATTAGTATTTTGGCATGCAAATGGTTGTAAATGGTCATACTCTGCAGCAATCTGGATGTGGGTGCAGCATCTTTGGATGCTAAAACTGGCATTCAGCATACCATCAGTTGGTAGAACGATGGGACTATATTTCTTGCAGTTCCTGTCATTTGTTAGTTGCTGTTGCTAAAAATGTTCCCAGAAATACACGAAAGCTGACTGAAATAGCTCTTGGAGGGAAAAAAGGATCCTGAAACTTTCTAAAATAAAAGTTGGCCTATTGTCAACTCAAATTCCAAAACTCTGATCCAATCTGTTCAAATGCAACTTTTGAACCTCTTCCTTTTCTATTCTTCCTTTCATCTCTGTCTATCAGTTTGCTGCTTTTACAGAAATGTAAGAAAGGCTCATATTATGGCAAGACAATTTTTTTAAAAAAAGTTTAGATTAGGCAGATGATGCCTAATATAATTTTTTCCCATCTAGATCAGGGGTGAAATTCAGCAGGTTCTGGAGAACTGGTAGCGGAAATTTTGAATAGTTCAGAGAATTGGCAAATTCCATCTCTGGCTGGCCCCAGAGTGGGGTGGGAATGGAGATTTTGCAGTATCCTTCCCCTGGAGTGGGGTGGGAATGGGATTTTGCAGTATCCTTCTCCTGCCATGCCCACAGAACCAGTAATAAAAAAAATTGAATTTCACCCCTGATCTAGATGTTATAATAATATTGTGTAGTAGAAAAAACTACCAAAGTTAGGTATGTTAAATTCTATTTGACCATATTAACCAATTAGTTAACTCAGAAGAGCAATACCAAGCTTACATGGTAAGAATAACGGAAGAAAGGGAGGAAGAGAGAGAGGGAGGTTTACAGGCTTCTGCCAGGAGAGCTGATGTGGAATCAGAGATTGAATTTACCATTCTGAAGCTCAGAGTAGCCTTTGTTTCCATGGTCCTTAACATTTCTCTTAGATTCCTTATTCCTTGAATAATATTGCTAAAGGGAAAAAAATCAAGTGTGAAAAGCAAGTCTGAATTGTCCATGAATTATGAACAACAACAGAAGAATCTCTCTTACGTTGAATATATGTACATTCATACATATATGCATACATACATATGCACACTTATGTTCAGGTTGGGTTATAGTAATAGGGCAAGTCAGCAAATCTTCAAAGAATACTTTCCCAGATGGTGACTGATAAGAAGAACTTACACCTCATACTTAGTTTGTCAGAAGGCAGTGCCTTCTCCCATTGCACCTGGATAGAAGAGTGGTCATACAGAGATCTAGCACTGTGGATTCATGTCATCCTAACCTATTGCACAGGATAATGCTGAGGACAAAACATGGCAGACAAAGTATGTTATGTTACGTTCAGCTCTTGCATTAAGATAGAATATACTAGTGGAACCAGTATTTTCCCCCAGCTTAATTTGGAGACATTTAAAAAATTTATATTAAACCTAGTTTAATTCTTAGCCTAACATGTATCTCTATTTACTACTACAGAATAATGAAAAACTGGGCCACATTTTTCAACTAGTATACTTAGATTAGCTATCCATTCCCGATTCAGAGAATCTATACATCTCTTTCCCTGAATTTAGGATATGTTGTAAATTGGCTTTGCTTATCCTTTGTTGACAGGAAGCCCATTTTTCCTCATGAACTATAGCCTATCTTACACAGATGTATATAGAGAAGACAAACTTCCTAATACTAAGAGCTGTATATTATGCTTCTTTGGTAGCCTCTATTTCACTGAATGTATTTAAGCAGAAGCTGGTTATCCTTTTATCAAAGATGCTGTAAACTTCACACCAGACCTCTCAAATCCATGAGCTTTCTATGGAAGTTCCTCCTGCTTCAATCTGAAAACCAGTTAATATTTTATTTTACACTAAGAGAAATGTACACTTGAGATGTCAACAAATTTGAAGTGCCTAGCTGAAAGAAAACAGATGCACACAGGCACATAATTAACATACCAGAAAATTGTATTCCCTGAAATCACATCAGAGCTTGTAAGGATTTGTTGTACTTGGGAGAACTCTACATACTTCCGCTCTTAACTTAAGAAACAAAATCATTTCTCTAATCATACCACATTTAGAAATCACTCATCTAACAAGAACATCAAGTGACCCACTTCACTTTCCACACTTTGTTTACTTGGCTTGTGAAGAGATCTGTCTGCACCCTCTTGTGGCAGAGAAAAAAAGAGATCTAATCCAATCTACTTTTTTTCCCTCCTACATCGATCCTCTCTATTAAAACAGTGGGGAGAGAATTACAATTAAATGTTCTTGTAATTTTGACTCCTAGAATGATAACTCTTCTAATAATTAATAATTCCTTTTTTGTGATTAAATGAAGATTTGTATTGTATTCTTAAACACATGGGTGGTGCATCTTTCTGCCAACACAGGATTGACTTTAGGGGTATTAAAACAAACCCACTGAACCAAAATTAGCAATTAGATGAAGGTGCTTTATGCATATATAACCTGTTTGCCTCCAAGGCAACTGTGGCAAGAAAGGTCATACAATGGGGCAAAACTCACTTAACAAATGTTCTCACTTAACAACAGACATTTTGGACTCACTTGTGGTCATAAATTGAGGACTGCCTGTATTACCTACTGGTAGCTTGGATCAGAACAATATGCAAAGCTTTTTATGTGAAATCATGTTTATTAATTACTTACCCTCTCTTTAAATGAGCCACATATGCACTCTGCAGAGCTGCTTCCAGAAAGTAAGGAAGTTCAAAATCCAAGGAAGACATCTGACTGCCTTTTATGTTTCTTGTATGTGTATTATTAAAGTTCTGGTAATAGAAGGGGGAGAGAGAAAGAGAGAGAGATGACAGATAAATATGAACAATAATTTTGCTTAATGCTTACTCTATTCTGCTTCCAAAAGATCAGAGAAAATGACTAATAAAAAGGAAAGAGGATAGGGTAAAGATAATTTGAAATTTGCTTTGAATTACACTTGTTATTTCTTTATAGTTTGGACATTTATAAACAAAAGAACAGCTGAACCACAAATAGTAGCCTACTATAGGCGCAATTGCTCCCTCCTTTCAATTGTTTAACTGAAACTAAAAAGAAAACAGAAAAGTGGTCAAGCATCTGAGTCCTGGGTCCCATAAACTGGATGGATTACAAATCAATGCCTACCCTTCTATGACCCTTAAATTGGGGCTTTGCAATGACTTGAAGGGAAAAACGTTTTGAAGGGGGGAAAGGTGATTTGGAGTGCATGTGGACATTTGTACAGCATCTCTTGGAAACTCCTAAAAGTTGCTGCCTTTTCCCCCCACCAGCATAGCTGTAGTGTGACCTCAGGAAAAGATGGATTTGGTTTAAGTCCCAAACGTGTTTTTTTTTTTCAGGAGGCAACTGGACTTTCTTGATTTTTCTTTGAAGACATTTCACTTCTCACCCAAGAAGCTTCTTCAGCTCTGACTGGATGGTGGGAAGTGGAAGGATTTAAATTCCTTGAAGACAGCTGGTCATCTGCTTCCTTTTAGAGCATGGGTGTCAAACTTGTGGCGTCATGTTGCTGTCATGTGACTTATTGTGATGTTTTTCCCCTTTGCTGGCGTGGGCGTGGCCTGCATGTGATGCATCCGGCCGACAGGCTGTCAGTTTGACACCCCTATTTTAGAGAGTTGTTGAAGCACTTGGAGATTTATCTGTGTCCTCAGGATCACCCAAGTAGTGCAAATGGTTCCTGTAGTCAGCAACCATTAACACTACTCAGGTGACCCTGAGGACACAGACAAAGCTCCAATTGGTCCTGACTATGCAGGTGACCAGATGTCTGCAAGGAGTACAAATCCTTCCATTCCCCACCAGCCAGTCAGAGCTGAAGAAGCTTCTTGGATGAGAAGCAAAATGTCCAAAGAAAAACCAAACTCCAGTTGCCTCTTGAGAAAAATCACTTTTGGGACAAACATGACCTGCATGACTGAGAACCTCTACAAACTTTTGGTTTAAAGCACTGACAGTGGATATTGCATTAGCCCCATGCATAGTCTAAAGCACCTTCAAATCCAAACAACTGAACAGACCTGATAGATTACTCAAAATCTGTAATCCGGTTACCATCTTTACCAGCTGGGAAGTACAATAACATCTGCAGCAATTTGCAATCTGCAATGATGTCAGCCTACGTCAGTTACAATCTTCTACAGTGAAGCTACTGTATTTGCATGATAATGTAAAGTTGCACATTAGTCAATAGTTCCCAGCATTAATGTCCCTTTTGTGGATGCACATCAACTTGGTTGATCACAAAAAAGCTAAAGAGGATCAAACTTACTTAGTAGCTCAATGGAATGCTGCTAAATGCAAGAGTTAAACCACCCTAGAAGATTATGGCAATCCCACTTCCATATTGTTGCCAAGAAAATACCATGGGTGGACCAGGAATTGAGCATGACTTGAAGACTTTTCTTTACCCAAATGTAAAATAATTTAAATAATTGAATTTAAGACAGTTCCTCACCCCAACATGCAAAACAAAAGGGGAACTTAGTACTGTATATACCCATTATCAGATTTGTAATTGAGCTAAGGTGACCTTCCCATTTTAAAGATAAAGTGGAAAAAATAGTCTTCATTTTAAATAAGTGCAATAGAGACATATACAATGGTTTTGCATGAAGTACAGCTGATATAGCATGCATTGTTCAAAATCTGGCATTTCCCCCTCAGAATCATACATTTTAATCTGTGGCGTTTTAGTGATTTTCAAACCTGTGTTCCAAAATTCAATATTCAAAAAGCTGGCAAAATGTGATGCTAAAATATAAAATTACGTACAGAGATCTGATTCAAATTTACATTCAGCCAGCTACATGAAATCTTGGGCTATTTGGACTTAACCACCTCAGAGAGGTATTACCTGAGCAAAAGAGAGCAACATCTTGAGCCCATTGGAGGGAGAGTGGCATAAAACTGAACATCAAGCAGAGCCTCGGGGTATATAATTTAGCACGTTTCCTGGCTTTCGTTTAATGGAGAACAAGTGGAACAGTTATATAAATCCTTGGGAAATGCTAAGGGGGGGCTCCTTTGAGCTGACTTTTATTTACCTTCTCCATTTCTTGCAGGAAAATCTGAGCGATTACACAGGCCCTTTCAAAGCAAGCCATGACTTCCTCTTCTCTTTCTGACAGCCGGACTTGGGAAGCAATGGAATTGGGTGAGCGCTCCAGTGCCAAGCCTGTGAAGACAGCAACAGTGTCTCTTCAATGCCAGACTAAGAAGCACTAACCATCAATTAGTTATCACTTTGTGCAACCATCCCCATAATCTTCTCTACCTAGAGAAGCCCAACAGAGCTGGAGGTTGTTTAGTTGAGTGAATTTAAATCTTTTATCCCCATCTGTCATAGTGCCTCAGAAATAATATCTCCTCAAAGACCTGTATGGCCTCTGCCCTAATCATGCTGCAAAAAATTTTTTTTAAAAAAATTCCCTCCAGATCTTGAGTTAGGATGAGTGGTAATCCTTCTGCTTTGATGTTATCTGTTACTTTGAATGGTTTCCCCCCTCAAAGGCACACAATTCTCTCTGTTTTATTGTGGTTCTTGGAGTTTTTTTTAATGGTGTACACCTCCCAGAATTTCATAAAGTTATTCCATTGTTTGTATATGATGCACAAATAAATACAGGTCACCCTTGACTTATGTTGTAACAGAGTCCGGAATTTCCAATATAAGTCATGGTGATGTAAGTTGAGACAGTCATGTCACCAGACCTGTTTTTATGACATTTTGGGAGCTGTTGTTAAGTAAATGCTGTAGCTGTGGTAGTTGTTAAGTAAATCAATGTATACCTGTGGGCATTTTTTTAAAACTGGAAACCAGTTGAAAAGGTCAGAAACTGGCAAAAAAAAAATCCCATCATAAATCAAAGTCACGTGACCATGGAACACCAGGACTAAGTCTGGGTGGTTTACAGCACATACCATTGGACAGAAGCCAAAATGAAGAAACTGTGCAGTCCTAAACTGGAGGAGGGAGAGGGGAGAGATTCAGGAAAGCCATACCCCAGAATATCTCAGGCTGTATTTAGTAGGGTACAAGATTGTAGCTGTAGTCTGGCAAGGTCTCTCCATTAGATGTAAGCAAATAAAGGATTGGATTCAATGGATTTTGTTTTGTGATCTTTGGGATTAGGGTTGACATTGTCAGAGCATAGTTTATTTCAACTTCAGGAAGAGTAATATCTTTTACATACATACATACATACTCCATATCATCCCATTTAAAAAAAAGTGGGGGGAAACTAACTTTCTAGCTAACATGTAGCTAAATAGACATTTGCATCTATATCAGCAATAGCAATAGCACTTACACTTATCTACCACTTCATAGTGTTTTTATACCCCTCTCCAAGAGGTTTACAGAATCAGCATATTGCCCCCAACAATCTGGGTCCTCATTTTACCGACCTCGGAAGGATGGAAGGCTGAGTCAACCTTAAACCAGTGAGAATCGAACCCCTGGCAGTAAGCAGAATTAGCCTGCAATACTGCATTCTAGCCACTGCACCACCAAGGCTCCTGATGAATATGAGCAATATGCAAGGATGTTTTTGAAATCAAAAGGGGATGGTGAGCAAAGTTTTCAGATTACTAACAGAATTGCAGCAAGAAGCTACAATATACATACTGTAAAGCTCTCTATTTCTCCTAGTTTTGCAAAAAACAAATATCAAAAATAGCTCTCTACCCTTGTTTCCAGAATGCTACATATATACATAAATATATACACACAGACAATCATGTGGTTATGAAGACTTTTAATCCAACCCTTTGTCAAGGATAAGAATTCTCAGGCTATCCCAGACAAATGAGTTTTAGGGTAGTTGTTGTTTAAAAAAATAAATTATATCCTTCCAGTATTGTATTTCAACTACGAGTTCCACCCCCCCCTCCCCAAGTTTCAATCACAACAATAATGTCCTATTCCACCACCACACTCCACGCACACTAGGATTTCAAGTTCTTCTGGTTTGTTCTTCGTACTCTGTGAATAAGCAACTGAGCCATTTAGTATCGCCCTTCTTAGGTTTGCCTGTTGAATCTCCCATTGTACAGTATTTCTGAACATTCCTTCCTTCTGATCACCTGCTGCCTTGTACGATTTGATTCCTTTGGGCTTATGCTCGAATGTGGTTCTGGACGTCCTTTCTTCCCCTTCAGATATACGTTGAAAGCCCACCAGATATTGATGGCATTATATTCATCGAATTGTATGTATGTTGAATTGGATTACATTGAATATAATGAATATATTCATTATATCCAAAATAGTATTCATTCATTCTAATAATTTAAAGCAGCTTCTTATGTGTGTGGAATCTGGTTACTGCCTATAAAGTATTATAGATAAATATAGATACAAATACTTAAGTATGAGGCAGACTCAGTTCGACAAATAAGGCCAATTCTAATACCATCTTTTTCTGCCTCTCCAATTAGAACCCTGTATTTTCCATTCAATACTTATGAAATTTTCTTCTCTTCCTTTTCCTCTCTTTCAATAGAAAGAGAGTATCTCATGTAAAGATTATCTTTGCAGACAGAAAGTTCCAAACTGAATTCCTGGCACCTCCAAGTAAATCTGAAAACACCCTTCTCTGATTCTCTGTACAAATACAGCCACTCATTATAGATAAAACTAAGCTTTGAAGATTAAAAGATCTTATTCAGATATAGCAATTTCCCGAGTTTCTTCTCCCTGTTCCTAACCACTTTGTTTTAGATACCTTATACTGTACTCCATAGGCCAGGGTTTTTTCCCCAACATGCTACACAGTCAACCTGGAAATGGAACAGAATGCACAGAGAAGAATGGAAAAGCCCTTCTATTTATTACTGCTAATCTTACAAGACCTGAACTTTGCCTGTTGATGCAGTCTTAAGGTTGTATGGGTCATTTCTCTCTCTCTCTCTATCTCTCCCTGTCTCTCCCCACCACCAATATCACAAGTGAAAATCCTGGCAAAAGCAAGCCATACCAAACAAAAAAATGGACAATCTGCTGCCCTCCAGATCAAGCTGTTACCCCTAAACTCTAGCCAGCATTTCTTTTAAAAATTCAACATATATAAAATGCGAACTCTAACACTTGATACCAAGGGTTGGCAACCCGCGGCTCTGGAGCCACATGTGGTTCTTTCATCCCTCTGCTGCAGCTCCCTGTTGCCAGTCAGCTCCACAATTGATAGGGCTTTTGTTAGTGCAGGTAGAGGCAAAAGGATGCCGCACTAGGAGGAAACTCTATGGTAGGGGAACCGGACTTCCATTTGGCAGAGGAAAAAGGACACCGCGCTAGGAGGAGACTCTATGGATAGGGGGCTTCCAGTTCGGATCTTTGTGGCTCTTTGAATGTTTAAGGTTGTCAACCTCTGCTTTATATTATAGTGGAAAAAGATAATGATGTATACAAAGAAGAATACAACACTTTATACTCCAATGGGAAAACGTAAAGATGAAAAGTTTTGTCCAGTAATACACAGGAGCATAAGCACAGAGAAACATCTTGCTGAAAGATCCCAAATTCTCAACAGTACTAGCAGCACATCATCTGGAATGAAATATTAAGCAAAGTACTATAAGCACCATCCCAACCACTATTGCTGTTTTTAACACCAGACTATGGTGTCAATCTTTTTATAATGATCTAATAAACTTGCAGGAGATTCTGGCTGATCAATTAGTGGGGTTACAAAGGGAATGAGAAGAAGGCAATCAAGGTAATCTGCATAGTGGATTTCTCCCAAAAGTTACGCAGGCTGTTTTTCTTCAGGAAATCAATAATCATATGGAGAAAAAAATGATGTTGGATTGACCACTGGGGTATAGGAGATATATAGGATGAAGGTGGAGGGAGTGCCTGGAAAAGAACCTGAGAAACCCACCAATCACTGCCGTTGAAACTGCCCCACACTGAATTGATAAGGACAGTTTCTCACTGCTGATGCACAGTAAAACTTGATCAGTGCAAAGTACAGCAATATAGTTTTCTGTCGACTCAAGGATGGGACGAATGCATATTACTCAGCTGTGAAGAAATGCTTTTATTGCTGGTGGAATTATGCTTGGTATTCTTAAGGACTGTATTCTGTTGAGAGAAATTGATTCTAGGGTCTATGCTCCAGTATCATGTAAGGCCAAAAGGCAGAAGAGATTGGCTTGGAGAGACTGCATGAAATTAGAAAAAAGCCTACATTTCCATTCTATAAAGTGCTACAGGCTGGCTTAAGGAACCAAATCTTTAATAACAACATGTAGCACCTGTGCCTCCCCCAAGAGATCAGGTATATTTTCCACTGCTTACTTGTTATTCTGGTCAAAAGGTAGCACACCTTCAGAAGTATTACAGGATCTAATCAGGACAGCCTCAATCTGAAAACTGCTCCTTTTGGGTAAAAACCAAGTCCTTGGTTGACAGATTTAAATCTTAAAATAGGGATGGGCACAGGGATGGGTTCTGGGTTCTTTTACTGCCGGTTCATTCAGGGACATGTTTTGGGTGGGCCTGCGCTTTGGGCATGTGGCTGCTTGATGCATGCTATGTGCGCATGCGCAGTAGTGAAAACATTGTTTCTGCGTATGCGCGGAAGCAAAAACCAAGAAGGTGCCACCGCCAATAGAACCAATTCGGAGGCATGAGCGGCTGAGTTACTACCTACTCAGCCGAACCAGTCCGAACCTTTGGATGGGCAGCTCCAGGGCCACATATGGCTCTGAAGCACCCAGAGTTCCTATGGTTTGAGTATACAGCAAGTTTTTGTTTTATTTCATTCTTTTGCTCATTTTTGGGCAAGGGGTTTAAGAAAAAAACAGATACCCTAAGATTTACAAAGGGTTAAGTACTTCTTTCATTCATTAAAATGAAAAAAAAACTTCCTCCAAAAACACAACTTTCACCTACTTGAATTCTAAGAGGCAACATGCGTAGTTCACACCTTCGCAAATCTTAAGATATCTGTTTTACTTCAAAACCATCTAAAAAGAGATCAAAACATTTAGCCACCTCCAGTTCAGTGACATCATAACCACCCAGCGATGCCTTCTGCAGATGCAAACAAATATTAAAGCATGACCTTCACTTTGCACATTCATATTCAAGGCTAGGGCTTCCGTTGCTCTTGGGTGTCTTCAAAAGAGTGAACTTTGCATCTGAAAGACTAAGGTCACTCTTTAAAAAACAGCAATCCTTATCTTGGACAGGGATGGGACCACTGGTTTGAGAGTGCGATCAAAGAGGACAGCCATATTAAAACTGAACAGCCCTCTCTCAAATAGGGGGCGGGAACGATATGATACTACCTATCCCCTGTCTACAGTACAGTCTTTTCAGTAGTCCCAAAAAGGTTCCACACCCATTTGCACTCTGACCCTGAGAGTACAGATAAATCTCCAGCTGGCCTCAATGACTCTCAGAGCGCTAACAATCAGATGACTATAAGCTAAGGAATATAAATCCTTCCATTCCCCACCCCAAAAAACAAAAAACAAAGGCCAATTGCCTTTTGAAAAGCAGTTTTGCTGCAGCTGATTGGGTTCAAAGCCATGAGCACACAAAACACACAGCTTACTAAACCATTATGGTTGAATTCATACAACACTCTCAGACCAAAACCAACCACTTATGTTTAGTTTTGAAAAACCTCTCTCTGGTTTTTCAGTATATATCAAAATCAACAAAGCTGTCAGGAAAATGACAAAATTGGTATATACACACTGGCAAATATTTAATGGATTTGCATAGAACAAGTGAATATTATTAATAATCTAGATTCACTTAAATGACTTGCTCACCAATTGGCTGATGGATACAATCATTTCATTCTCATATTTCTCCCTTGAAAGTTTTTTGTTCAAATTTTACTAACAGATACTTTTTTATGGTCATACAAGTCAAATGCATGCTATATTTGTAATTTCTGGGAATTTTAGTAGGGAACCATAGAAGAGGAATAGCAGTCTATATGTACTCAAATATAGCTAAGCAATGATAAACCCCTTCTTTTTCAGAATCATAGCATAATGTGTTAATTGAACCTGATCAATGACTCCTATATTTTAAATTATTAGACAGCATGTTATCAATCTAAGCTAAGTATATCAAAATGCTATCATTAAACTGTAACTGAACAGTACTGAATTCTAACCACTGCGCCACCGTGATAAGCAGGAAAAGCCTATTTAAATTAAATAATTAAGCGAACTAGAATGCTTCATAGACTATCTGATGTCCACAAAAGCAAAGATGGGCAGGTAGGCTAGCAAAAAGAAATTTGTGTGAATTAGGAACTTTCCATGGTAGCAAATAAAATAATAATAAAATATACATTCTGTAAGTAAGTCAGACATATCAAAGTTTCTAATGATTTCTTTATTAACTGGAGGATATCATTTCTAAATGCTTAAGCCTTTCTAATCCAATAGCTACAACCATTCACAAATAGGTACCAACGATGCATTTCCCCAAAGCCAATAGAATAGCAGTACATTCTAAACTGTGGCTCCTTAGGAAGCACAGATCAACATGATGCCTGATGTTCAAAAGGATCGCAATAGTAATATGGTGTTTTAGCTTTGATTTTTACATACCAGTTGAAGGTATCTGATCATTCCAGCCCTCTATTCACCTAATAAGTGGATTGGTATGCTGAAAAGGTTAGAAGAGGATAGGCAGAGAGCAACTACTTCAGCAGCAGTCATAAACAGCACTGAAAGGAAACAGAAGATGAAGAATGCAAGCAGAGGTATTTTTTCCAGGTTTCCCAGAAAAACAGCAGAATCATCAACCCTCTCTTCCCTCTCTTCCAAACATAGAATAAAAAGACATATACAGAAGAGATATTATTATTGTTGTTGTTGTTGTACAATGGTTGAAAATGCAGCAAGGAGAAATGTAAGTATTCTACAAAGGAAAGAAGAATCAAATATTGTCAGTTTGATAAGCACTAAAAAGCTGTAGGAAAGAGCTCATGGTGTGATCTGCCAATAGAGTGGGTCTTAAAACTGACCCACTCCCCACCGTCTTAAATATTGCCATAACTCCCACAAAAGAAATCAGATTTCGTTGTTTTGCACAACATCAGTCTCAATCTGGATCCATGACCCCCAAGCAAGAAATTACCTTTAGTACCCCCAGGTTTGCCCAAATTATCTCTTTGGGCATCCCTAGTTTAAGAACCACTGCTTCCTTACAAACACAATGTCACTTTAATTTGGGTGGAAGCAGACATCTTGTTTAAGATATTTATTCCCTGTTCATGTCATCAGGCAGCGCTCTTTGACTTTTCAGATTCTTCTCCTGAATCTTTTACATACAACTGAGCTGATTTTTTAAATATATTGTTCCTCTTCTGCCACCTTTACTTATTTTTTCTGTCTTTTTCATAGCTTATCTGAAATATACATAACATTGTTTAATAATCATTTACTCTTCCAAAGACACCATGTCATATATAGTCCAAAGAGTTGGGTAGAGCACCATTTCTCCCGCTTGACAAATTTATGGTACATGGATTTCAACTAGCCAGAATTCTCTAGCCAGCATAATATTCCATGTTCAGAGCAGAAAAACCATGACATTTTAAAATACAAATCTGTAGCATTGTATTGCAACACTGTCATGCTCTCCTATTTTTCTTTTTAAAAAAGCAAAATATTACAGTACTACTGATTTTCCCTGTTGAGTTAATTTCAACCTATTACTGAAGATCAAAGAAACTGAAGAAATATGCAGAATGTTGTTTGATTGTTTTACAAATAAAAAAATTGATATCTACAAGGCTAATCAAAAATTCAATCTTTTAATCAGGCATAGGTATTTTATATGAATTAGAATTTTGTTTATGATATTCCATAGCTCATCAGCTTTTTAAAATTTAAACTCAGTGCAACTTCAACTAAATTAAATAAAATGTTTGAAGGATAAAATAAACAAGGTTTATATGAGTTGATTTTCTACAGCATCATCACAGTGAAATCAGAAACCAGTGACCCTAGACAACCCCCATTACCTTTAATAACAAAAGCTTCGGTTAGCAGACGCAGCTTGTATAAAGGTTTCTTCTCTATTACAAGGTCTTCGAGGCCAACTCTTGCATACAGGCTCAAAGTCTCTCGGTAACAGCCTTCAATATAATGAAGCTTTGCAAGGAGCAACATTGCTTCTGTCATATCTTTTGGCTGGAAAATTAAAATGTTCATTAGTAATATAATAAAGCTGTGGTTAAACAATGTTTGTTTTGGAAATATTTTCCTGTTCAACCTTGCATGGAATCAAGCATTTTGTTAACAAAACCTTAGTGAGCTTTGAAGTACATGGTGAAATATAATGAGTGCAGAATGCAGATCCGTCGGTTAATTTGGAAAATTATAGCGGTTGGACCTTCCTTTTCTACTGAAATTAATAAGGCAGCTCTTAAGAAGAGGAACATTCTGTCATTACAACAGAGGATCCACATGGCTTCCTGTTATGTGTCAATGGATGGAGCCATCTGATTTTCTTCCATACATTTTCAAGAACACTTACCCTATGTGAAGTAGAAGTTTACAAGTGTACTTTGACTGGAGTTACAAAGTTGCTGAAAATATATATTTAGCTTAAAGTTTTGCCCTGCTTTATTTTTTTTTACCTATATAAAAATATTTAGGGCAAACCTTTAAGCTGCTTTGTATATATTTATGAAGCAGCTTAAGGTTCTGCCCTGCTTACCCAAAATTTCTTCATAAGGAAAATACTTTGCATCTCTTCAGCAATTTTGAAACTGCAAAGTGTGTATATATGTGTGTGCAATATATATATATATATATATATATATATATATATATAT